TCTGTCTATTGTCTATCTATGTGTGTTCTATATTCACTCAACAGACGGTTGTCTTTTATTGGTGTATTAGGTAGGAGATAACTCCATCGATCTGCCAGATGCCAATGTGCTGATCCAAGTGTCTTCTATGTATGGCTCGCGTCGCCAAGAGGCGCAACGTCTGGGCCGCATTCTCAGAGCCAAAAAGGGTCAGCCCAAACCAGGACCAGAGGACTACAACGCTCACTTCTACTCTCTGGTATGCAACTGCAACAACGTTCTGTCGATTGCCAGACCCTTTATGGTAGACACGGTTTAAGAATCGCAAATTCGTAAATTACGGCTATCACTGCATCGATTGACGTTTTCTCGCATAGGCATGTGCTCATCGTACGGTAAAATCCTCAACTTATGATCAGGTTTCGAAGGACACAGCTGAGATGTATTTCTCCACCAAACGACAGCAGTTTTTGGTGGACCAAGGGTACGCCTTCGAGGTGTGTACTCAATAGCCGCACCGCTATGTATTGTGCTGTTGCGAGGACTGTGAAGCTATTTGTAAGTGGGGCTGAGGCCTACTTCACTGTACAACAACAAATCCGTATACCTGTACGTGGAGAGGCCCTGTATTACGTGTCTAGTGTGCGACCGGTAGTCGACTGAGGGCGATGTTTGTGAAGGACAACAGGGCTGACCCCCCCCCCCCCACACACACCCCCTACCCGCTCTCTTGTATTTGTCAACCCCACCAAAGCATACTTCGCTTCATTCTGTCTCTGAGTACAACCTTGTCACTGTTGAATGTCACATCACTCTACCTCTAACACCATCGTTGTATTTTATGATTAAACTATGGCCTGTTCAGGTAATCGACAAGGTTCCAGGTATGGACAAGTACGGTATTCTCACTAAAGCGCAGGAGAAGAACTTGCTAGCGGCTGTACTGGATGCGATGGACAACGAAACACAAGAAGAGGATCTCAGCGGGTTCGATCCAGATACCGTGGGCCGTAAGGCGGGCAGGAGGAAGGGTAAGTCTTTACAGTAGCTTTGGAAGGGTTGGCTCTGTGCGTACCTTTTAGTTCGAGTTAAGGTATTTTTGACCTGATAGTACTATCTATGGGTGGGAAGATACAGTAGAGAAGATGCGATCCGAGTACTATATGCTGCAGGATTGGTAGGAGGAGTGGTGTGTCAGTGTGTGTAGCTGTGACTGCTTTTGTTGAGTATATTTAATACAGCACTATTGTGCTACAATTGCGTGTGATGGCATGACCTTTTGGAGAAAGGTAAAACTCCGTCTCTCTTGGATAAACCACTTTTTTCTTCTCTATTCGGAGGAGTATGACCACTGCGAGCTTGTTGCGTCGTAGTGTGTGGCATGCAGCAGCTTACTCGAGTCGACTGGAATAACAGTTGTGCATAAGTGGGGATTGCGGAGTGCCTTGGGGTAGCAATCGGTGCGCGGTGACTGTAACTAGTATAGCACTACTGTGTGGAGTCGAATAGGCTCTTAAGATTTTACTATTGGAAACATCGGGTTAAGGTCGGCTGCAAAGAGGGGAGTGATATCACGTTTTGTTGCGAGTTTGTCTGTCTGTAGGGCTACGGGTGCGTGAAGAACTGTGTTCATAACTGTGTACGTACGTGCGAAAGTGCCTTTATGTCATTTTCAGATGTCCGGTTTTCTGTGTTGTTCTGTGCAGGTGAATCTATTTGTGCACGATTTAACTGGAGATTGGTGTTGACCGATTTATTCTCATTATAGGTAATCTGTCGGGGTTGAGCGGAGGAGAAGGCATGGTCTACAATGAGTACAAAAGTAAACAGCCGAAGGCTCGGCACGCTCTGTTCAAGCACAGAGACAAGCGGTGAGAAGCACAGAGACAAGCGATGAGGACGTGCTCGATACTGACTACGCCACACTCGATCATCACTTGATCTCTGGTTGCTCATGTAATCCCCGCGTATTATGAACCGCACGATAGCTACATGTACGTGGCATTTGGTGAAAAGTGTACCGTTTCTACCAATGACCACAAAGGATGGGTCAGCGATCGGTGACAGCTCACTTAAGGCTTTATGTGATGACCGCATGACAAGTGATGCACGAGCGCAAAGTGTGGATAGCCTTGTAACGACGCACCTGTGGCCGAAAAAGTATCGTCGTATTGAACCATTGACACTCAATCCGCTGAGCGATACTGTACATGTGCCCGTGTGTATATGAATGTTTACTCACTACCCCTGCACCTACAGTCACCCCAAATTTTTATAGCTTTCATCCTAGATCAGCTCTAGATGCATGCCAACGTAGCCAAATTTCAAAAGCCGTTCGTGTTTGGATTCCAAGATCGTCGGTGAATCGTACTCGCAACTTTGTAAATGTTAAAGAGTTCGCACCGATCATCTTCATATTACTATCTGTAGAGGTGCCAGTTGTAACATCAGACAGCAACCAACTGCATACACCTCTAAAAGCTCGTCTTTTTTACAGAGCTTATAGCACAAACCGTTAGTTATGAGTAGTTCATAATTATCCGCCGATTCGTAGAGAACATCGAGTAGCGAGTAATCGCTGCACTAACTCGTGCCGCACTATTCGAGATTCAAATTCCGAGCACAGTTTGACTGAATTACATGTACGATTCAACTCGGATCCAAAAAACACACTGTTCCTTTATTCATGCTGAGAGCCCCATGGATGTCTGCAGGGAGATATTGTGGACTTGAAGAGAAATTACAATGTATTTGTGAGGGCTTGTTATTACTAGCAAAGGGATCAATAAACATCATGCACGACACCGATTTTACGACGTTTCATATCGTCTTCCAATACACGATGGTTTTTAAGCCGACTGTAAGTTTCAGGATAAGATTACATTGCGTATGCATTCAATCACGCCCAGGCTTCGGCCACTCTGCGATGCCATGGCTCGTATCTAAAAATTACAAATTTGTATTCATGCATTCGATATTATCGCGCGATACTTTGTTAATATAAGTTAATATGTGGTGTTCGTCCGCGGTTTTATATGAGGCAGGAGAATACATTATAACGCTTACTTGGCGTACATTTGAGAATTGCAGAAATGAAGAAGTGGGGGAATATATTATAATGCTTACTTGGCGTACATTTGAGAATTGCAGAAATGAAGAAGTTGGGGCAATATATTATAATGCTTACTTGGCGTACATTTGAGAATTGCACTAACGAAGTAGTGGGGGAATATATTATAATGCTTACTTGGCGTACATTTGAGAATTGTACGTTCTCCAACTGCGAAAATTAATTAGATTGGGAATGGTGAACAATATAGTCTACTAAATACAATCAAATTTGACATGTATTGTTAAAGTCAGGTCATGGCAGCCCTACTATAGTCTATTGAGTCAACTAAAGCAGCCAGCCATAAGCTGTACAAACAGAAGCTCGTACCACCAAGATACACTATATATATATATATATACATATATATAACATATACATGTACGTATACATATACATATACATATATATGCATATACATATACATATACATATACAAATACATATAGATATAGATATAGATATAGATATATATATAGATATAGATATATATATACATACACA